GAAGGAAGGTACTATGGTAGGTGAAAAGAAATTTGAATACCATTCAAAAGCAACTAAAATAATTTTTCCTTAGGATTTTTTTTGTACATAATTCTTTCAGAATTTCCAAAGGTAAAACAAAGGCTTATTTATTCCTTTTAATTGAAAACAAAAAAACAAAAACATAATTTAAAAAATGAAATTCTCAAAGAAAAATTCCAATGCCAAATCCAATGCTAAAAATCTATTTCCATAAACTGGCTTTGTTCTTTTCCCTGCAGTATTCTTCCCCTAAAATAAGGTATTTTATGCTACTACTGCTACACTGTTACTCCAGAAATAGAAACTTTTATATCTTATTTAATCATATTTAAAAGTATGTGCTTTGAAATTTGCTAGAAACAGTTCCTTATTCTAAATTTGGCTAGAGGATAAAAGATCCCTGGATTTGGGGGCAAGAACTCACGTGACTAATAACAATAACGTAAAAATCTGACTTTTAGGCTGTGAGTTTCTTTCTTTCTTTCTTTTGAGTTGGAGTCTCACTCTGTTGCCCAGGTTGGAGTGCAGTGGCATGATCTTGGCTCACTGCAACCTCCGTCTCCCGGGTTCAAGTGATTCTCCTACCTGAGCCTCCTAGTAGCTAGGATAACAGGCACACGTCACCACGCCCAGCTAATTTTTGTATTTTTAGTAGAGACAGGGTTTCCCCATGTTGGCCAGGCTGGTCTCGAACTTCTGACCTCAAGTGATCTGCCCACCTTCCCACCTTGGCCTCCCAAAGTGCTTGGATTACAGGTGTGAGCCACAGCACCTGGCTTTAGGCCGTGAGTTTCAAATCATAAACTACATTATTTAAATTCCTTTAAATATGGCTAGAACATTGTTGGATATAAAGTATCTTATAAAACACAACCAAAAAATAGATGAGGGAATCAGAATGAGAGAAAAGTAAGGGTAGAAGGGAAATTACAAAGCAGTCAGGAGTGCAGCTGGAAGTGCACTCGTTAGAGATGGGCCACAAATGAAGTCTGAGCTTTCTAGCACCCAGTAAAACATAACTCATTGTCTGTAACATGCCAAAAATCCAGTTTCTCAGAAGCAGCACAACTATTCTTGTTACTGAAATGCAAAGTTTCATGTTTCCTACACCATGTGATACAGTAAGCGACGCTCTCAAAAACGTCCTTACAACACAAAGCATTTCACAGAACTGTTTTCTATCCTGGTTCTCAATGTAGGCCAGTGTTATAATGCCAAAACAGAGTGCAATAAAGTTATTCTTAGGTGGACAATGTAGGTACAGATCCCTGACAGTCATAGGATCTACAGGAATGCACTGCATATCATAAGGCCATCTTCAATAAACACTATTTCTCTCAACTTAGCTCTAAAAGCAATCCCTTCTATTATGAGAAATATCAAACTTGCAGAAAACAGTGAAAACAATAATACTAATGCATACCATATACACACTCCAGAGACAACTATTAACGTACTACCTTTTTGCTTTTTGTGTATATGGGTACAGGTAAAATAACTTATGGACATCAAGACAC